TGTGCTAGTCTTTTTTTTTTCTTTTTTTTTGGAAATGCGGATATACAGAGAGGAGGAGAGAGAGAGAGGAAGAACTTCTGTCAAATGATTCACTCCCCAAGTGACCACAAGGGCCAGTGCTGAGCCGATTCAAAGCCAGAAGCCAGGAGCTCTTCCTGGTCTCCCATGCAGGTGCGAGGTCCCAAGGCATTGGGCCGTCCTCAACTGCTTTCGCAGGCCACAAGCAGGGAGCTGGATGGGAAGCAGGGCCGCCAGAATTAGAACCAGCGGCGATATGGGATCTTGGCACAGGCAAGGCGAGGACTTTAACCATTAGACTATCACGCTGGGCCCCGTGCTAGCCTTTTAAAATACAAAAATGGAAAATATTTAAATAATCTTTTATATTTATTAGGATGGGTCCATGGGAGAAAAGTCATATGTTGATAAAGAATTTATATGCAAAATGTATAAAGAGCTTACATGTCAACAATAAAAGGTCAAACAGACCAATTTAAAAAACGGATAAAGTTGAATAAACTTACAAAGAAAACCCCCTAAAGTAGTACATGGGATGATATTCAACATCGTTAGACATCAGATAAATGAAATCAAGACCACAATGATTGCTTCATTCCCCCTAGGGTGCTATATTTAAAAAGATGGAGAGGATGACAGATGTTGGCAAGCACAAGGAGAGATCAAAACCTTCATACCCTGATAGAACTGTAAAATAAGGAAGCCAGTATGGAAGAGTTCCTAAGAAGATTAAACATAGTTATATGACTTAGTAGTTTCCTAAGTGTATACTCAAGAGAAATTAAAATGTCCACAAAAGACTACATACAGATGTTTGCAGCAGCAGTATTCATAATAATAAAAGAGCCAACTGGTGAGTAGACAAATGAAATATTTATGTAACAATATATTATTTAGTAAGAAAAATAGACTGCTGACATGATTTAACATGGATGAACCTTGAAAAATGTGTTAAGTGAAAGAAGACAGTCACCATACCACATGTATGAGTTCATTTGAATGAACAGTCTAGAGCCCAGCGTGGTATCTTAGTACCTAAAGTCCTCGCTTTGCATCTGTTGGGATCCCATATGGGCACTGGTTCTAATCCCGGCAACCCCACTTTCCATCTAGCTCCCTATTGTGGCCTGGGAAAGCAGTCGAGGATGGCTCAAAGCCTTGGAACCCTGCACCTGCATGGGAGACCAGAAAGAGCTCCTGGCTCCTGGCTATGGATCGGCTCAGCTCTGGCCATTGTGGTCACTTCTGGAGGGAATCATTGCACAGAAGATCTTCCTTTCTGTATATATGACGTTCCAATAAAAATAAAATAAATCTTAAAACATTAAAAAGTTTTAATGTGCTAAAATAACCTCGATTAAAAGAATAACATCAATAAAGCATTCCCATCCAGCTCCCTGTTTGTAGAAGAAGTACATTCATTTTTTTATTTGTTTTGTTTTTATTTTTCATTATTTATTTATTTTTAGAAGGACATTCAGAATCTTCACTATTGTGGGAGACAATAGGAAATTGAATCTTCCTGAAGGAACCAATTGATAAGGAGATGAATGAGCAGGATACATCCTGGTTCACAGGTCTAGATAAAGAACCTGCTAGAGGAACTAGCTGTGTTTTGGGGAGCTGTACCTTGCTGTTGAGTTGTCTCAAGCCCCTCCTCCCTGGAGGCCTACGTGACAGCCTGCCTTTAAAAGTCTGATGCTGTTAGTAAACTTCGGCTTTCGACCATCAGTCAGAGTCCACGTGTGCTATTATCGGCTCTGTGCACCAAGTCCATTGCTGCTGGACAACGACACCTATTGTGGCCTGGGAAAGCAGTAGAGGATGGCCCAAATCCTTGGGACCCTGCACCCACGTGGGAGACCTGGAAGAAGCTCCTGGCTCCTAGCTTTGGGTTGGCTCAGCTCTCGCCATTGCTCCAGGCCCAAAAATAGATAAATCTTAAAAAAGAAAAAAAAAATCCTTGGCTTCATTACTCCACCTGAGAGGAGATGTAACAGACTTTAAGCTCCTTGAGAGTGAAAGATTGCTGTATCCTCAGTCTGGAGGTTAGCATCCTGTTATTTAGTAACTTAATGATTTGAGCAGATATAGGAATAAATGTAGAGTGCTTTATAAAGAGGCGATATTTGAGCTACAAATTAAAGGACTAATAGAAGTGAGTTAGTGAAGATGAGGAAAGAACACAGCAATAGCCCAAAAGTGCTAGCACATGGGAAAGAAAGGCATGTTCAATTGCTAGTTGGGTCAGTGTGATTGGAGCATAACCCATTAGGGTGGAGAGGGGTGAGATAAAGAAGCTGTTTAAGCAGATTAGGAAGTACCTTGTGTGTTGTACTAAGGAGCTTGGACTTTAGCCCATAGGCAATAGGAAGAAATGTTTGTCAGAGTAAAAAGATCATGATACAGGCAGATATGTGCTAAAGATCTCTGTGGCTGCTTATATGTGCTAAGCCTATTCTGTCAAGATTAGAGTCAGGTGGAATACTTTTGTTGGAGGCCATGGTAATAGGTCGAGAGAAAGCAGGGGTTAAAACTGAACCCAGGCAGTGTGGCAGTGAACAGTTCAAGATTTTATGTTTGGGTAGGGGTGCTCATGGAAAAGCAGCAGCAGATGGTCCAGGTGCTTGGACCCCTGCACCCAAATGGGAGACCCAGAAGAAGTTCCTGACTCTTAGGTTCAGACCATCCCAGCTCTGGCCATGGAGGCCTTATGGGGAATGAGCCAGTACATGGAAGACTTCTCCCTGTGTCTCTCCTTCTCTTTCTGTAATTCTACCTTTCAAATAAAACTAAATTAAAAAGAAATTTTTTATGAACTATATTACTGTAACAATATGGAGGAATTCAATATGGGGGGAGGGTTTGGGGGAATCCCAGAGCCTATGAAACTGTATTATAAAATGAAGTTTAAAAAATTGCATCTATGAAATAAAAAATTTTTAATCAGCCTGTAGAGTTATTGAATTTTTTGGCAAGACCAGACCAAATGGTGCTCTGTGTTCCTTACCCCTGCTCAAAGGATTGGTTTGAGTGTGTTTGTGGCTTTCTATCCTCTTAGATCAGGGAACAATTTCAGCTCAATTCATTCTGGGAAAGTTATCAAATGACGTATGTACTGAGATTTGGAATGCTTCTTTGTGTCACAGGAAGAAGAGTTGAGCCCTGAGCTCAGACTTTACTATTATTCTAGAGCAGTGGTTTTTCAAGTAGATAATCTTTATTCCCCAGGGGACATATAATTAACAGTCTCTGTAGGCAATCTTGGTTGTTGCAACTGGGAGTATATTATTCGCAGTCCATGCTAAATCAAAGAATTAACCACGCCAGAGTGTCGGTAGTGCCAAGGTTGAAAAACACTTCTCCAAAAAGTTAAAACTTTTAACTAGAAGCAGAACTTTGAGGTTGGAAGGCTATACTTTTAGTTAACAGCAGAGCAGGGACTGAAACTCAGTTACCCTGGTTTGTCCTGCTTGTTACCACAGGCCATTTGTAATCAGCATTAAATAATATAATATTTTATCTTGTTTCATCTACTAATCCTGATTCATACTGTATTAGCCATACTCAATTATTTGTATATTATCAACTTTATTTCTTTATGTTGGGAGCATTCTCTGAAACGTAATTTTTTGTTTGTTTTTAATAGGCTTTTAATTTTTTTTTTTTATTTGAAAGGCACAGAGAAAGAAAGATCAGTTGTGTTGGTCTTCAGTTTACTGGCTGATTACACAGATGCTTTCAACAGCCAGGGCTGGGCCAGGGTTGGGCCAGGGCTGGGCCAGGGCTGGGCCAGGAGTGCACTTGAGCCATCGCTTGCTGCCCCATAGGCTGCACAAGAGCAGGAGCTGGACCTGGAGTAGGCACTCCTAATGGGATGTGGGCATCTTAATTCCTGTTTCAAGTGCTGAGCCTTTATGTAGCTCAGGGCTTTAACTGGACAGTATTTTAACATCTCTTCCAGGCACCCTCCTGTAATCTGTGACACCCATGTTTCATTAAAATCCACTTTATTTTTTCAGAGTAACTGTTTATCATATAATAGAAAAATTTTCTAAGACTGGCGTTGTGATGTACCTAGTTAAGCCACTTCTTATAATGCTGGCATCTCATGTGGGTACCACTTCAAGTCCTGACAGCTTCATTTCTGGTCTGGCTCGCTGCTAATGTGCCTAGGAAAGCAATGGAGGATGACTGAAAAGCTTGGCTCCATGTGAGAGCCCCGGAAAAAGCTCCTGGCTTTGGCCTCACCCAGCTCTGGCTGATGCATCCATCTAGGGATGGGGTGTGACCAAGCAGATGGAATACTTCTCTGTCTCTCCCTGCTATCCCTCTTAACTCTGCCTTTTAAATTAAAAAAAATCTTTCTTTTAAAAAGTAAATTGTCTGTTATAAGTATCTTGGTAGTTGGAACTCTTTCACTCTTCGGCCCTCATTTTCTTTTTTTTTTTTAAAGATTTATTTTTATTATTTTTTTATTGGAAAGGCGGATATACAGAGAGGAGAGACAGAGAGGAAGATCTTCCGTCCGATGATTCACTCCCCAAGTGAGCCGCAACGGGCCGATACTATGCCGATCCGAAGCCAGGAGCCTCTTCCGGGTCTCCCACGCGGGTGCAGGGTCCCAAAGCTTTGGGCCGTCCTCGACTGCTTTCCCAGGCCACAGGCAGGGAGCTGGATGGGAAGCGGGGCTGCCGGGATTAGAACCGGCGCCCATATGGGATCCCGGGCGTGCAAGGCGAGGACCTTAACCACTGCGCCACCGCGCCGGGCCCGGCCCTCATTTTCTAACACAGACATGTAGCACAAGTAAGGGTTTAGCGATGGGAAAGATCTATATGAAATGATGTGTTGAGAAAGACATTCTAAGACCTAAAACCTCCTTAATTCCTTGCAGATATTGATGAATATGTGAGCACTGTATATTTGGCAGGTATAGTTCTAGAACAGTAACAACTGTTTGTGGTGGTATCTTTCTACAGGTTGATATGTCAGACCTTTCCCCAGAGGAGCAATGGAGGTAAGTGTGGCAGGTGCATACATTGTGTACTGCAGCTACCAAAATACTCTGAATGACTGGGAAGAGGTTTATAGTAATTTGCTCTCTGTCTTAAGGGAGGTAATGGTTGCATGAAAAGCTGCTGTCCGATGTTTTGCTGAGGCCACTTGCTGGATTCTAAGCCCTCATGTGGGGGATCTTTGGCTGGATTGGGTCTAGAGGGCAAACAAGATTAATAGTCTTCACATTGTGCTGTACAGACAGTGGTTGAAGAATCTAGAATTGTTAGCTTGAAAGGGCACAAGAAAGTGGTGGTTGAAACGGGGTGTTTTGTTAATGTATTTTGATAAATCCTCGAAGGAGTGGCTTTGGGGAAGAGGAGTCCATTGTTTTTCCAGAGTGTAGGGGCCCAAGGACTTGATCCATCCTCCATTGCTTTCCCTTTCCTTAAGTAGGGAACTGGATGAGGATAGCCAGGACTTGAACTGGCACACAAATGGGATACTGATATTGCAGATAGAGAATTAGCTCGCAAAGCCACCATGCTGATCCTCATAAAACAAGATTTTAATAATGCAGTCAGCATACACTTGTTTAATGTGTCACTAAGAATCTGCAGTGTTATTACTATAATTGTCCTGGTGAGAAGTTAAAATTGTTGTGAAGTGGGCAATGATGCAGGCTTCTACTGGGACTTCTATGTAAGGGGGTGCAGGCAACAGAATTACCTGTAATCTGAATAGCTGAGCTTGGTTGCTGGGGCTCACGAAGTCTCATTTCTCTCCCCAGATGCTATTGCCTAGAACGTGTTGGCCACCAGTTGGCAAGACACAATATGGCAGTGAGGCCCAGGAGTGTGTTCTGAGCTGGGGACTGTCACTGCACCATCTCTGACCTGGTACACCCCATCTGTTTGGCTTTCAGGGTCGAGCATGCACGCATGCATGCCAAGCACCGCGGCCACGAAGCCATGCACGCAGAAATGGTACTCATCCTTATTGCCACCCTGGTGGTGGCCCAGCTGCTCCTGGTGCAGTGGAAACAGAGGCATCCACGATCTTATAATGTAAGCCACCTCCTGTCTCACTTTTTTTTTTTTTTTTTGGTTTGTCAGTCATCACAAGACCAAGAAAGATAATAGTGAACTTTATATATACTAGTGAATAGCATATAGTGTATGTTTTCATTTATGTCTAAGGGTCAAGTGATTCAGAGGGTGATAACAAGGCTAGGCCCTGAGACTGCTTTTCCAGTCAGAAAAGGTAGGTCCTCTCTTTGAAACATTGTGGGACATACTCATGAAGTGGATGCTCACTGGAATCATTCATTTGGAGGAAGGGAAGATCACTGGATTGGGAAAAAACAGCATGAAGTAGGATTTAGGTTCTACTAATTAAAAAAGTATGTAAAACATATACGTAAGAGGTAGAGGTCATTTTTTCTTATTAGTACTTGAAATATAAAATGTTTAATTCTGTTAAAAGAAATTATGAATTGTATTTAAAAATCCGTGATCCATTATCCTTTCATTGCTGTGCATAGAAAACTCTTCTTTGATATAAAAACACAAAAAAATTGATAGTAGTGGCAGATGTTATGGCTCTGTGGGTTAAGCTGACACACTGAAGCCCAGGATATCTGTGATGTAGGCCTCACTTTTCGGAGCCCAGCAGCAGGTGGTGGCTAAAGTATTAGCATCCCTGCTGGCCACAGGCTAGATCTGGATGGAGTTCCTGGCTCTAGCCTGGCTCTCTCTGGGCTGTTGCGGCTATTTAGGAGGTAGCTGCATAATTGATCAATCTCAGTCTCTTTCATCTTCCCTCCCTAAATCTTTTTAAAAATGAATATAATAAAGATATCCCATACATGTGATAACCAAGAGAGGTGGGGTGATGATGGCAGATAAAATAGACTTATAAATCAGAAAAGTTATAAGAAACAAAGAACATTGTTGATAAAAGTTCAGTACAGGAAAAAGATGTAACAGATATAAACTTGTGTACTGAGCACAGAACCCCAAAATATGTGAAGCAAAATCAGAATTAAAGGGAGAAATAGACAGTTTTATTATAATAGCTGGAAACTTCAATACCACACTTTTGGGCTTTTCTTTTAAATATTTATTTCAAAGGCAGAACTGGAAAGGGAGAGACAGGGAGAGAGTGAGATCTTCTGTCTACTCATTTACTCCCCCGATTGGCACAACCATCAGGACGGCTGCGCTAAGCTGAGGCCAAGAGCCAGGAGTTTGTTCCCAAATTTCCATGTTGACTGCAGGAACCCAAGCACTTGGGCCATCTTTGGCTACTTTTCCCAAGCCATTATCAAGTAGCTGGCCATTAACAGAAGTGGAGCAGCCAGGACATGAACTGGCACCCATATAGAATGCTGGAGTTAGAGGTGTCAGCTGTACTGGTTATACCACAGTGCCATTCCCAATATCCCACTTTTAGTAATGGATAGTGAGAATAACCAGACAGGAAGTCATTACATTAGTAGAGGAGGAAATGTTTAATCTAGCAGTTCAGACACCCATGTCCTATATTGGAGTGGCTAGCTTTGATTCTTAAATGTGACTCCTGACTCCAGCTTGGTGTGCCGAGCCTGGGAGATAGCAGTGATGGCTTAAGTGATGAGATTTCTGCCACATGTGTGGGATACCAGAATTGAGTTCCTGGTTGATGGCTGTAGCTTTGGCCCAGCCATGGCTTTTTCTGGCATTTGGAGAGTAAATCAAGAGGTGGGACCTCTCTGTCTCTGTGTTTTAAAAATAACAAAGCAGTAAAGGACTTCAGCATGTGAACAGTTAGACTTAATAGATACACAGACCACCCCATCCAGCATCCACAGAATGCATATTCTCAGGTGTATATGCAACATTCTCCGGTTTGGACCATATATTGAGCCACAAAACAACCTCAATAAATTGAAAGATTCAAGTCATAGATTCAACTACTGTCTTTAGGATATGCCCGGGAGTGTGCTAGATTGTTGTATAGTTATTACGTTTAAGATTTTTAACACTTCTCAAGTTTAACAAATTTTGCAAAACCTAAACACAGAAAACATATTATAGTTGTTTTCTGATATAATACACAAAAATATAGTAGCGCAGCTAATATCTATTGTGTTCTTAATGTTAGAACACTTTACACATAAAGACTCACCTTTATTGTAAACCAATAATATAGCGAAGTCCTGTTTTCTCCAATTACAGGTAAAGAAATGAGACAGGCTAAAGTGATCTGCTCAAGTGATGAGCCCTTTATTCAAACATGGCTGTTTTTATGCTAAAACTTTTAACCTTAATTCCTAAGTGTTTCCTTTAGTATTTGCTTTTTTAGACCTGTTATGCTAGAGGTACCTAGAGGTCTGTAGCCTCTTAGGTTACTAATTGCTGTAGTATGTCATTTATTTTTCTAAAAGCACATGGGACCTAGCATGGTAACCTAGTGGCTAAAGTCCTTGCCTTGCACATACTAGGATCCCTTATAGGTGTCAGTTCTAATCCCGGTGGCCACTGTTCCCATTCAGCTCCCTGCTTGTGGCCTGGGAAAGCTGTCGAGGACGGCCCAAAGCCTTGGGACCCTGCACTTACGTGGGCGACCTGGAGGAGGCTCCAGGCTCCTGGCTTCAGTTCAGTGCAGCTCCAGCCGTTGCAGCCACTTGGGGAGTAAATCATTAGACAGAAGATTTTCCTCTCTGTCTTTCCTCCTCTCTGTATATCTGACTTTCCAATACAGATAAATAAACAACAAAGAAACAAATAAAAGCACATAAATTAATTGTAATGTTAAATGAAGAAATTGAAACCCTGAGATTGAAACCCTGAATGGCGCACTAATGAGGAGGGTTAGCATTTCAACCCAGGCCAGCTTTTTCAGCTATGCCATTTCTTGCCACAGTTTTCCACCAAAGGAACCAAAGGACATGTGGAGCATAGTGGGAAGTGAGGTTGGTGTTAACTTTGAGCTGGTGGTACTTCTGAGTGGTGTTCCCTCCAGCTAGCTCAAGTATAGGAGTGTGCCACACGTGGGAACTCGGTGCCTTTGTATCATGGCGTGTGGAGGGAGGGCCATGTGACACTATGTGGTAGGCCGGGCTGTCTTAAGGTGGATTTAGTGTCTCACCCTTGACCCCATCATTAGAGACGAGCCCTTGTTTTCAGTGTGTGGTTATTGTGGCTGCTCTGTAAAATTACTGCCGTTACTTATTTGAGCCCCCAAAAGTAAGAAAACTCAGAATTCAGGTACAGAACAAGAACCTAATGGCATTCTTTGGCTTGTTTTGTTTATTTGTTTTTAAGATTGATTTATTTTTATTGGAAAGGCAGATTTATGCAGAGAAGGAGAGACAGAGTGATTCTCTGCTGGTTCACTCCCAAAGTGGCCGCAGTGGCCAGAGCCTAGCCAATCTGAAGCCAGGAACCAGGAACTTCTACTGGGTCTCCCACGTGGATGCCAGGTCCCATGTGTCATCCTCTGCTGCCTTCCCAGGCCACAAGGAAGAGCTGGATGGATAGTGGAGCAGCCAGGACACAAACTGGTGCCCACATGGGATCCCAGCAATTGCATAGCCAGGAGGATTTAGCCACTGAGCCATCTCACTGGGCCCAGAAATACTATTCAGTGCTAACTACTTATCTTAAGAGTTTTAAAAAGTCCACTCTGGGGACTAGTGTTGTAGCATAGTGGATAAAGCTGCCACCTGCACTGCCCTCATCTCCTATGGGTGCCATTATGATGCTCCCTTTCCAGTCCCACTCCTTACCAGTAGCCTAGGAAAGCAGCAGAAGATGATCCAAGTGCTTGGGTCCCTGCACCCGCATGGGAGACCAAGAAGAAACTCATGGCTGCTGGCCCTGCCCTTGTCATTGTGGCCACCTGGAAGTAAACCAATGGATAGAAGGTCTCTGCGTGTCTCTCCGTTTCTCTTTCTGTAACTCCGATTTTCAAATAAATAAATACATACATCTTTTTTAATAAATCGACTCTGAGGTAAAAGGTACACATTTGTGTACTGCTGTAGTTTTCATTTTTCATTTTCAGTTTTCAATTCTCAAGTTCCAGAATTCGTTTTTTAACTAGTGTCTAAAGAAAAACCAAGTGTAGAAAAACAGTTGGCCGCTATGCTTGATGAAAAGATTTAAAATCCCAGCCTCTCTCCTTTCTCCACTGAGGAAACAGGGTTCCTTAGACCACTGGTAAAAAAAATCACGAGGGTGTGTGTCATTCACTAGTTAATCCTTAATAGGAGAGGTAACTGTAGCTTAATAAGGCCACTTATGCTAGGAACAGGCACAATCGTCTCCTTAGTTCTTGCCACACCCTGTACATGGACAAGACTTCATGGGGGGAGGCTATGCCAACACCTTGGCATATATTGTACTGAGAAAGTTAAACCTATCTCTTTAAGAACTATGAAAAGGAACTATGTACTGTCCTGGTTTATGCTGCTGTTCCACTATAATGACGTATGTTAGTCTTGTTAGAACTTTTATTGTATACAATGAATATTTTTATTGTTTTAAAGTAACCAACTTTGGTGGAAGAGAAATTGCCCAAGAGGTTTGTATACAACACATCTCTTACTCTTTTTTGAAATTAGCATAAATTGCAACTATTTTTCCTTGGAGGAACTGTTAAAATAGTGAGACCCACCTGACTTCATTAATTAACTCTCCCATTTTGTATGCGTATGGTTTTATGTGTCTCTGAGCTTAAGTTTTTCTTTTAAGTGAGGGTAATATCCGCCTCATAAGTGCAGAAAATTAGGAGTATGTGGGAGAAGTGTTTTGTAAACTCTAAAACTCATGTTTGTGACTGCTGCTATTCCTACTCCTAAGAACAAAAATAAGGATATAAAATAGTCTCTGTTGGGTGGGCGTTTGACCTAATGGTTAGGACACCTGTGGAAACCCTTGGATTCCATCTTGGCGGGCTTGGATCTGATCCTTGGGTTTAGCTCCTGATTCAGCATCCTGGGAGACAGCCAGGTGATTGCTCAGTCACGTGATTGACCTGGATTGGGTTGCACTTCTTGCTTGGTTTTGGCACAACATCAGCC